GACACCTGTAGCCAAAGTTATGGCCAAAAGACTGAAACATACTCAAAACGACCCCAATGACGAACATGTCACAATCAATTCTCGCCTTTGCGCTGATGTGCCAATTCATGGTATCTCAGCGCCATCAAGGTGCAATCTGACAGCTCAGCATCATCTGTCTCGGATCCCCCTACATCAATATTTTAATAATTTTCTTTGACATGCACCCATCACAAATCCATTGTTGTCTCTGATAATGATTGCTGAATAGGATATGTTCCTGAGTTGTATGAAACGAGTGTCGAAATTCATCTTCTCAAATATGACAAGTATGAGAAATCAACGAACCAAATCAAATGGGTAGCAATAGATAGAAGAGTATTGGTCGTGTTTTACTGGCTACAAAAAGACTTGACGAAGGTACAAAATTCATTCCCACTAATCCTCTTCCCCTCATGCAGTAGTTTATTTCTCACAAACCAAATCCCCCAAATAACACTCATAATAAAACCATGTTTAGAAGAGTGATTATTCTCAAATAACAAAAGAAACTAGCCATTAAAAGCTAACTGACTAACTTGTGGAGGCTAGTAAAAGTTCAAAGAGGGTCACACCGTAGTAGCTAACTCACAATCGTGAGCTATGTGGGCAGTGGTCTGGAGCAGAGCTCAGCTCGACTGAGCTCTGTTGAGGATATGACAAGTAAGGAGAGCTTGTTTTATTGGGACGAAATTACGAGTAAATTTCTAGATTTGGAGCTTAATCTTTCATTGACAATGTGCTCCCCATATATGCCTAAATAGGTTAGTAAAAGCGAGGATGTTTCCTCTAATTGTAACAATATGCAATAACTGCTACAAACATTGAATTCACTCGATTGCTCATCACACCAAACTACACAATCCTCTTTAGCTATGCGAGAGAGAGGAGTGGGAAGAATGATTGTAGCATCCTCATCACAAAAACTCGTAGAGATGATATCTGACTTCCAGGTTCGTGTAAAATGGTCAATTATGCCACTGTAGTCAATTCAACTCTTCTTGGGGTACACACTAGGAGCCAGAAACATTCCATATGTAAGTTTTCACTCTCGTATCAACCTTCAATCGTAGGCCTTTTTCAATTAAACCATCAAGGTAATCCTGTTAGATGATTTTCATTTTATGATTGAGCTTAGTTTTCTTAGTGTACTCGTTATACCATGTCACAACTGTTTAGTGATTATTGACCCAAAGGGTCAATATATTGTTCCGGTAAACTGAGGTTCTAGAATTGAGGCTAAGATGTTATCGACTATTCAGTTTGCAAAGGCGATGCTCAAGGAAGAACTGGCCTTTTTGGCATCTTTAGTTGTTGATGAGGTTGCCAAAGTGGACCAAATCTTAGAGGAAGTGGGGAAAATGTTAGCTAAATTTTGTGATGTGATGTCTTCGAAATTGCCGAAGAGTTTGCCTCTGAATAGGGAAGAGGATCACAAGATTGAACTTGTACCGAATACGAAACCACCTTCCAAGGTCCCTTATCAAATGTCTCTGTATAAATTGGAGGAAGTATGGAGACAATTGATAGAACTCATCGATGATGGATTCATCAGTCCATCCAAATCACCCTTAGTGCCCCGGTTCTGTTCAAAAAAGCATTATGGGTCGCTTCGGATGTGCATCGATTATCGAACTTTAAATAAGCTCACAATAAAGAATAAGTATCCAATCCCTTTGATTGACGATTTGTTTGATCAACATGGTGGTGTAAGGTGATTCACCAAGTTGGATCTCATATTTGAGTATTATCAGGTCAAAATTACTTAAGGAGATGAAATGAAGACAATATGTGTGACACGCTACGGTTCATATGAATATTGGGTGATGCCTTTCGGTCTCACAAATGTTCCTTCCACTTTTTGCGCTCTCATGAACAAGGTATTACAACATTTTTTAGATAATATTTTTTTACCTTGACAACATTGTTATTTATATCAAGTCACTTGAGGAGCATGTGGAACACTTGAGAAAGGTGTTCAAGGTGTTAAGAGAGAACAACCTCTATTTGAAACAAGAGTCATTTTCTATACATATAAAATTGTGATAAATTTGGGATCGAACCAAATCGAAAGCAAAGGGTCAAGCTAAAACGTAGTGATGTTGTATTTTGACTTGTATATAAAGTGTTAATGTGATTGCAATGTATCCATAATATTATACATGGATGTTTATATGTCAATAGGAAGACTTGCGATAAGTCTATCTTATTCATGTTGGCATGATTTTTATGTCATTTATAATATATTTGACATATTCTAAATATGTCAAAGGTTGAATATAAAATGCTTTGATAACTTGTTATTATATATGATGTTTATCATGAATATATATGATGTTTGTTGTGAAGGTTATTTTGGGTATGAACTACCCAAAAGTTAAATTATATTGATATACATTGCCATGGATGGAATAAAAAAAAATAGAACTATATGCCTAAGTAAGTCTTTGAGGGACAGGATATGTCATAAAATCCAACATAAGGGTTGCATATACGGATTAACTCTAGAGTGTATACCCAAGACACTTAGTGCAGGTGGTGGGCACGACCTTATTTGTCATAGTACTAGTGTGTATACCCAAGACACTTAGTGCAGGTGGTGTGCACGAACTTATGTGTCATAGCATTACGATGCATGTATTTGACTCGAATACCCAGAATCCTCAAGGTTTAAATTGGGTTATGGTTTATTGGTTAATAATTGATATACACGTGAATAAGCCTATGAGCATATGGTATAAATGGCGAGTATATTGGTTTATTGGTATTTATGTGTTGCATTGCCTTGAATATTTCTATGATTGTCTCACTAAGTGTATACTTAGCCTATGATGATTTTCACGCGTAGGTCAAAGATAGCAAGAGGAGTAAGGAGTTGAGCTTGTCATCAATCACCAAGGAATATTTACAGGTAACAATAATGACATTCTATTTTGTTCTAAATTTTCTAGTTGACATGTATACAAAAAATAAATGTCTGCAAAATTATTAATGTAGTTAGTATTAAATATTAGTTAAGTGGATTTAGAATCAGATAGTTTTAGAAAGTTTTATCTATTATATGGAACAGAGAAGAACTACCTATTACTGCCTAAAACCAGATTTGAAATAGAAGTTGAAATATTATATTTTAATTTTCTCTAATTAATTATTTTATTATAAATGTTAAGAATAGGAAATTTTTGAAAGGAACAAAATTTTACCCATTTTAGGTTAAGAAGTATTTTGAATAGTTAATGTGACATCTTTGACTCCTAATAGTATAGTTATTGATCTATATATTTCATTTCCATATTTTGATGTCACGAACCTCTGCAATTCAACACATTTTAACATGAGTTATATCCAATGTATAAACAGCTTCAATACTTCGGATATAGATAACTTAAAGCACAAGGAACATATGGGCGCAAGAGAAAACGCTTCTAAAAGTGTTAGTAATAGTAACTAAGTAGGTCTGCATTCGATTGCATGGCGAAGCAGGACCATTCGTAACCCAGATCCATCGTGCTTCTCCCTTAGAGGTGGGATGCTTTTTATGAAGACAATCAAATTACATCGGCTGATTCCATGTAATGTTAAGTTTATTTCCTTTCCATTAAAAAAAAGGTCTGCATTCATATTAATTTTTATTTAAATATTTTTCATTTAAAATATATTGATTAAGTAGGTCTGCATTCATATTACCTTTTTATTTAAAATATATTAATGTTAGTGATAGTAATTAAAATTATCTTTGTATTGAATGATATTTAATTTTATAAATATTGATTAATTAAATTCCTTATGTAAAAAAATTATCCTTTAATTACCGTAAAAGTTAAAAAAATAGTTTTAAGAACAATTTGACTTATACTTAAAAGTAAAATTGTTTTAGTTTAAACAAATATTGGGTCTTCTTAATTCTATAGCCTTTAAGTTTTTCTAAAACTACACATTTAATTAGTTAAGTATATTGATTTAAAATCATACTCTATGATTTTAAAGTGTTTATGTGATGATTTTATAAAATTAGGAAATGATGTGAATTTATCAATATAACTAACTCTGTGGGGGAAATGTAATAAAACTGGATTTTGCGAATGGTACAAATAAGACATGAGAAGGAGAAAAGTAATAGTGATGGAAGAAAGTCTGAGGAGGAAATTTAGTATTTAGGAGTAAATAAGTGGGCAATAGGTATAGATATGTTCTAGAATTGATTTAAAATTATTTTAGTATAATAGGTGTCTTGCCTATAAAAGACATGCGCCTTCACTTTGCACTTAGGCTTCATGGATCTTTTAACTCACGACCCGGCTCATTTTAAAACTAAAGATTGTACTACGTCTTTGATTGCACTTATTATTTTGAGTTGGTTTGAGATGTTACGGTAAATGACAACCTCAAGTTATGTAAGCATTAAAACTTGCTTCTCATGCTCGTCAAGCTCCCGTAATCACCTTTAGATTAATAATTTTTTTTAGAGAAAAGATGAATTGATGAGAAGATAATGAATAAGTGAGAAAATAAATGAGTGATATAAAGAAAAGAATCAATTTTAGAGAAAATATGAATTGATGAGATTTTAGGAAAGATAAATATTATTTTTTTAATATAGTTTTAAAATCTATTTTTAATTATAATGTTAAAATATTTTTTTATTAATATGGGGTAAGTATAAGAATATTTTTTTATGGTGCTCAAATTCGGATCCTTAAGGAATATTAACAATTCATTTATCACGGAGCCCATTTGATTCATGATGTTAAAATATTTTTAAATTTTATCAATTTTTTATTATATATAATTGATTTGTTTATTTATCTGATATAGAATTTAATAAAACAATATCTACCTAGAATAATTGAATTATTTTTTTTACCATACATAAAGAGTAAATAGAATAATGTTTACTTAATTTAAGGATAATCTATCCCACGTATAAGATTTTTGCCGCCTTTTTCATATTTACAAAGAAGGGCAGAGCGGGTGTGATGATCCGGTTTCCCTCCAAGTTGCAGTATAAATAAGGGTTTACCCAAAACCTAAATCCCATCTCTGTAATCTCTTCACTCTTCAATGGCTTTCTGGGGTTAGTTTCTCATACACTATGCTCTCTTTTTCTTCATGGTTTCTTTTTCTTTTTCTTGTAAAAGTGAAGCTACGGTTAACATTTTCCAGGAACCGAAGTGAAACCTGGGAAGTCCTTCACACATGTACCTCTCTATGGAAGGCTTCATATATCCCAGGTACTTAATTTTAAACTTTTCTATTTTCCCTTATCTGTTGTGTTTAATGCGTACTTTTCAATTATCCGATATCAAAATTTTTGAAAAAAGGGCATAAATATGTTCTGTCAGGCGACATTAGGAATGGGTAGTGGAGAACAGAAAAGCATAGTTAAATGTAATATTGGACATAGTAAGCCGGTATTTCTGTGTAGTTTGTTTCCTGATAAGGCAGAGTGTTGTCAACTCAATTTGGAATTCGAGGAATCTGTTGAAGTCGTTTTCTCCGTTATTGGCCCTCGAGCTGTTCATCTTACTGGTTACTATCTGGGCTCTTCTTCCCTTGATCGTTATCACAGTGATGGATCGTATCCTTTTGTTTTTAAGTTTTTGAGATTTACTTCGTGTTATTGGGTTCTTTCCTGTTGTTTCCCTTCACAATGTTGCTTAGAGAACCCTATGGAGAAGATATTGCAGACACCGAAACAGAACGTGTCAAGAGTAGTGAAAAAAGTGAGTATGGCGGTAGTTTTATTGACGATGATGATGATCCACAAGTCTTCTCATCTTCTGAAGAATCTCCTGCTGGGTTTGGATGTATGTTTCACCACACCTCTTACATGGAAATTTTGACCATTTGTCCATTAAATTTAGCCTTTTTTGTTACAAGGGAACAATAATCATCATTGATTCTGGTTAGATTACATCTGAAATTATTTTCTTTCTAATTTAAATGTCCTTTTTTTTGTGTATGAATTCAGCAAATGAAGAAATGCGGGGCTTAAAGTTTAAGGGTCGCATAGGAAAGCGTAGGAGGCTTAGGAAAAAGTACCAGAAAAGTGAATCTGATAATGGAAATTCTCAGCAAAAGGATTTCATCAATGGTGTTTCTCCTAGGGAACTATTTGACAGTGAAACTGAAAATGCATTGCCTATTTCCTCACTGTTTTCAGGAAAATGCGCATCAAAGAGCGGAAAAGACGATATAGGAGGAGAATCTAGGAAAGAAACTGGTAACCATAACAATAATGAGATTGAAGATAATGCTACCATGTTAGAAGGAATTAATGGTGTTCAACTTGAATGGTACGATTGCTGTATTTCTTTGACAAGAACAACAACGAACTTAAATTCAATAGCTAACCATATTGAGAAGAGGATCGCGGGTGCAAACTATCATCTGTTTAAAATATGGCTGTTTGCTTCTTCAATCATTGTTTTTGAATTACATTTGATCGTGTTGTACTTTTTTCTATTCCTTCTTGCTTGCAGTAAATCAGGGATTAGGAATGTGGATAAGCTTGAAGAGCTGGTAAGGGAGGAAAGATTACCGGAAGCTGATCATTGTGTGGTTGAAAAAGTGGTATTGGAGCAAAATGACCAAAATCAAAAGCTGGCCAGTAATGAGTCCGTGATATACTCTCTTTAGAGAATTATATGTTGCATGAAATATGTTCTTCCATGTTTTTTGACTTAGTTGTGTCATTTGTAGCAATTGTCTTGTTAATAACAACTGCTATCTGATATACTGCAGGATATGTCAATCTGATAATCCGTTGTTGACACCCAGTGAAGTGGGTACTGTCGATGGAGCTAAGCTAATTCGGAAAAGAAAGGAACACTTTGAAGACAATGATACCAAAGGGGATGAGGTCTCGAAAAATGGTTCGAATTTAAATTCCGTGATCGAGGATGTACTTATGGAGGATAAGGAAACCCAAACTCATGTTAATGATAAGTAGGTGTTTATCCTTTTTCCTCAATTTCAGTCTTAAATGTGTGATGTTCACTTTGTTTTTCTTTTCTTGAAGTCATTCTAAGAAGAGGAAAAATAAGAAAAGATTCAAGGATGAGGGAGAGCAGGATGGTACGAAGATGGAACCACCAGCCCCTGAAAAGGAGCAATCTGTTGACTTGAATGACAAGAATACTAATGACCAGGAAATTCAGCTGTCGAATGGAATTATGATTGAAGAGTTAGAAAAGGGAAAACCAAATGGGAAAATAGCTTCTCTTGGTAAAAAGGCATGTAGTATTTTATCCCTGGGGTTTCATTGGATGAAAGGAATTGGTATTTTCCCCCCTTTGGTGCTAAATTATTCACAAAGTTTTGTTGCTATCAGGTCCGAGTCCATTACACCGTAAAGTTGAAGGACAGTGGGGAAGTAATTGATTCAAGTGCTGACAAAGGTCACTTAACATTCCGACTAGGTAACATCTTTTTCTTTAATCATGCTCTGTAAATATATTGTTGTGTGTTCAATGTTTAGTTTTGATCAAATTAGATTCTTCTGCAAATATATTTGGTTTTAAACCTTTTGAGTTGGACTTGTATCTTTGTTGCTATCACAGTTGAGGGACAAGTTCAAGAGACATGGAAGGTTGGCATTGATGGTATGAACATGTCTTTTGAAGTTGCTTATCACTAAGTTATTGGGGTTTGAATTATATATGTAATGATTTAAATAATGATGATTGGTAGGCATGCAAGTTGGTGGCAAACGTAGACTCACAGTTCCACCGTGGGTGAGGTATGTGGAAATCCTACTCCAAGCTCGACTCTGTACTTTTGTATGGTCTTGAGTTTGGTTTTTGTTGCAGATGTACAAAGGAAGGAACAAGCGAGAGTATTCCACCAAACCCGTGGCTTGTTTTTGAATTTGAATTGGTTAAAGTCTGGTAGCTTCATACGCCAGTCTTGTTGAGGCATACATCTCAATGCTGGGTACATGACCTTTTGGTTTTAGGCTTAGATTTTATATTGCGTTGTTTACAAATGGTTTAAACAATAAATAAAAGAGTTTGAAAGCCATCAGAGGTGATTATATTTGTTTGGAACATTCTTAATCAATTGACAATATATATATATATATATATACCTTATAAACTCAAATGCTAAAAACCAAATGCATCTAAAGAGACCACTTTGAAAGTCATTATGTTTTATTTTGTGTAAATATTTTAACCATGCCTTCCATTACCATAGTTAAGCAAACATGTTGTAATTGTAATTTACAAAGAATCATATTCAAAGGTAATTAGTTAATGAGTTTCTAAACACAACCAGATTTATGAATCATTTAACATCAGGTGGTTATTTTGATTTAATGATCTTCAATGCTTTTTTTAGTACAACCATCGGTATTCGATCTATTGATCGATTAATTCATATTGGGTATTGCGGAGGCAAAGGTGACCCTCCCAACTCCGTTTGTTCCATTTGCAATCGCCAATATTCGAACTCCTGACCTTGCTCAAGGGATCTAGTACCTCATCTCACTAGACAAACACGTTGTTGGTAGTGTTATTTGAATATTGTCAAAGCAATACATATGCACATATAAAACTATTTATCAACATTTTAATAATTTTAACATTTTTATTTGTTTGTTAAAATTTCAATTATCTTATAAGTAGGTAATTTTCATATTTACCTCATTTATTTTACAACTATTTTATTAATTTTATATTATTGTTATAGTTTAAATATTAAATATAAATTATATTGATGTATTTTGTTAATAAAAATTATAATATTTAAATTATTTAATTAATATAAATAATATTTTTATTATTATTTAACATAATGATATAGATATATTAATATTTATAAATATAATTTAAATATTTTTAATGATTTACTTTTAATATAAATATATCTTTAATTTTTTTTAATTATCTTAACATTAATATTATTTTGTTACTTCGTTATTTAATTTATATACGGCTTTAATATCGTTTAATGTCCTTTTGGTTGTTATGTTCTATATTCATCTCATTTTTCTCATTGCAAATGAATTCAAACACTTATCAGATTATTGATTTTAATATCGTTACAATGTTCAATCCCAACAATATAATAGTATAGTAATAGTCACTGAACTTTTTTAAAACTTATATTTAGGTCCCCCAACTTTTAAAACTTGCAATACAATCCTCCAATATTTAGTCCGTTTGTAATATGATACCCAACGTAATCGGCTGTTTGACGCCGTTACACTACTGTTAGAAGAAGATGACGTGGTAGTCCTCCAACATTTAGTCCATTTGCAATATGGTCACTGAACTTTCTAGATACTTGCATTTAGGTCCCCCAACTTTTAAAACTTGCAACATAATCCTCAATTTCATTCTAAATCCCAAATTCATTTTCGATCTCAAATTTCCTTTTTATCTTCTCTCTTCTCATTTCTAGTGTAACTTTCAGTCGGGGATGCATGGAAATTCTATTCTAACTTTGAATTCTGTGAAGGTGTTGACTTGAATAAGGATCCATTGAGAGAAGACCCGACCAATGGACTATCGGAACCATCAACGATTCAAGGTGTAATGTTAGATACAGGTCATCTCAGGTGAAGCATAGATGTTCGATGAAATGCTTGTGAGAAAAAAATGGGGTTAGAAATGCAGAGTTGACAAATACTACTAAGATGAACTAAGTATCATTATTGAAAGTCACCAACAAAGCTGGAATTATTTTGTATAAATGGCATACAATAATTTCTTCGTTTAATCCTTGTGGTTAAAGATTTTCCAACAAATGATCAAATATAATGAAATCCCAAACAACACATTCACCTCTCTGTCTCTTTCGCTCACATGCACTCTCGTTTGGTTTTTGTTCTTCAGTTTCCGCCATGTAAAATTGTAAACCTAAGCAGTGCTCTGTCTTTCAGCTTTTTATTTACAAAGAAAAAATGGAGGGAGAATTGTGTGTTTTTGTTGAAATTTTTATGTTTCTGGAACTGCATATCAAGGATATGGATATTCAATATTAATTTTGAACCAAAACCATCTAATTTTCTTTCTTTCTTCTTAATCAAAACTTGTAGTACTCCTTATGAAAGATATTCAGCCCATCAGAATAGAAGTGATTATTGGACTGATATATCTTGAAACAACTAGATTTTTTACATGTTTTGGAAATTTTACAGTTGAATCTGTATTGAATTATAGCTTTAGATGACAATTATGCATGCACGCAAATCGAAAGGTATCATGACAGGGTAGTATATTTGGAGCAGCTACTTGATATGTTGCTCGGTCATTGCACATTTGCACCTTCATTTCTGGCATATATATGTTTGTTGCAGTGTCCTCTATGTTTTACAATGTCTTTTATTACTGACATGCCATGAATTTACAAGAATTATGGGGTCCTATGATTTTAGTTCCGCTATCTTCTTTAGATTCTCATCATGTTTGGCTATTGAATAACATTAAACATGGATCATTAGAAGCAATTATATGTTAAATGGGTAGGCCATTAATGCATTCGTAACTGGTAATGTTGTATTTGACATCTAATGTTTATTTTAAACAACCCATTTGACGCCTTAGCTTTTGGAGTGACTATGACCAAACCCGTTTCCCTTTATTTATTAAGTCCTCCTTTCGAATGAGTTATAAATTGATATTCTTGGTTTATTTTAGTTATTGCTTGGTTGTATGTTGTAATCATATGAACTAAAACTCTTTACTATTTTCGCAGCCGTTTGATATGCCTGCTTAAGTTCCATCCAAACCTACTGGATTGTCATACCAAAGTGCGGCAGCTGCGAACAAGACAAATTGGCCTTGTTACTTTTACTTCAACGGTTTATGCAATAAATGTGGTAAGTGCACTTTTTATATTCAAAGTATGGAAGTCGTTGGATGTGCATGCAACAAACCTCAAATTTATATTGAAATAAACACTATCAAATAGAAAATTCATGTTCAAAATTCCTAAACACTTTAATTACATTCTAAACCTAAAATTCAAAATACTTCAATTATATTCTAAACCCTAAATTAAAGTATTTTAGAATTTAGGGTTTAAAATATAATTAAATTATTTTGGAATTTAGGGTTTAGAATGTAATTGAGGATGTGTTGTAAGTTTTAAAAGTTGGGGACCTAAATGCAAGTGCCTGAAAAGTTCAATGACCATATTGCAAACGGACTAAATGATAGAGGACTGCCACATCATCTTCTTCTAACGACAGTGTAACGGCGTCAAACGGTTGGTTACGTCAAGGACCATATTGTAAACAAACTAAATATTAGAGGATTGTATTGCAAGTTTCAAAAGTTGGGGGACCTAAATGCAAGCGTCGAAAAAGTTCAGTGACCATTACTATAGTTTATCCTTAATTTTACTATCATTACTATTTTTAACTATATTCGAATCAATCTCATTATCCATCCAAACCAACCCTTTTTATATGGATGGATAGTAATTTAGCTTTAATGAGATTGAAAATAGAAAAATTCTAAGGTAATTCAACTTTTAATGAGTTATAAAACATTGATTAAGTTTTAAATATAAGCATCGATCATTAATTATCGTTAAGGGATGATATGATATTTTAAATTAATATAAAAATATATTCTTTGATCCATCAATTGTGATTAAAATTTTCATTCAATATTTTTTTATATTTTTGAGTAAGTATTTCAAAAGCTAAAAATAAAAAATCTATATTTTCAAATTATATTGAATTTTAAAATTTACTTTTGAAATTATAAATACATTTTAAATTATACTTCAATTTATTAAACAAAAGTTAAATAATTGAATAATATTAATTTAAAAAATATGACTTCGCTTTTTGATAATTGAAATTGTTGAATATTAAAAATTAAAAATAATAAATTTTACAAATTCAATCATAACTAAATAAAAATTATTTATAAAATAATTTGATGAATTAATAAATTCATAAAGTTATAAATATTTTAAAATTTTTAAAAAATATTATGAATTTTTATACATTTAAAAAATGTTTTTTAAAATTATTAATTAAAAATGTTGAAAATTATCAAAACTGAAACTTTATTTATAGTTAAGGGGGTAAATATCTCACTTCACCCCTTTAATGAAAATTAAAGTTGTCATATCTATTTTATAAAAAAAGTTAAAGTTTAACACCATTATATAACTTTTGAAAGTTTAACATCTAAAAGAATATTTTAACATAATTTAGTGACTATTTGTAAATGTTATCCTACAAAATTATTGGATTAATCATGGACTGGTCATTGAATATTTTAATATTTATTTAACATTGATAATTTAATTAATGGTGTGTTTTGGTGTGTTGCATTAACGATATGTTTTAATGTGTTACATTAACAAGGTGTTTCGGTGTGCGACGTGAACTGTACACTCAATCATATTTTGATACTTAATATGCTTCAAAAATATCTTATTATCTATTATAATATAACTATTCTTTGTTAAATTAGTAAATCATTGTAAACTAATGTCTATCATGATAATTTTTTAATTTAATCTCATCATTGCGATTTGATACAACCACTGTGCTACCATTGATTTTAATCTCATCTTTTAACTAATTTCATTGTTAGAGTAACTAATGTCACAGTCACTATTATTTTCAAGGACAAGTCTACAACGCACGTAAAATAACACAATATATCATTAAAGCGGAGTACCGAAACATATCACTAATTAAATTGTTTTTATTAAGTAAATATTGAAAGGGTAAATTATACATTTAGTACATACACTATCATTTTTATTTCATTCTAGTACCTAATTTGTTTTTTTCAAAACCATTAACAACAATGCTGACGTGGCTTTATATTTTAA